TTGTATTTCCAGTGACTGCTGAGTTAGAGCCTGGAATTTGGAGGATATGTGACCTCTAGAAAAAGCTAGAAAGAGGGGAGGGGGGCACCCGGGTGGCTCAGTTGGTTAAGCGGCCTACTCTTAGTTTCGGCTCCGGTCATGATCTCAGGGTCCTGAGATCGAGCCCCGCATCGGGCTCTACGCTCAGTGCAGAATCTGCTTGTCCCTCTCCCTCCTCCTCTGTTGCTCCTCCTCCAGCTCTCTCTCTCTCTCTCAAATAAATAAATAAAATCTTAACGAAAAAAGAAAAGAAAAGAAAGACGGGAGGTGGAGGAAGAGAAAACAATCTCTTGTATTTGTGGATGTCTTTCAAAAACAGTAAAATCTTTTGTTAATTTGGCTACTCCTCATAAGAAGGAATACGCACCAATAATGGCTTAGGATTATCTTCCTAATAAGGTTTTAGTCGAGTTCTTCCAGAAAAGGACCTTGGCTCAGAATCCATGTTGGAAGGTGACCCGGGAAGCAGCCAGAAGGGAGAGGGGAGGTGGGACCAAGGAGGGGAGGAAGCGGAAAGAGGGTGTGGACGCGAGCCGCTTGTCACCACAGGCACCTGGCTTCTCTCAGGGGGGCTCTCTGAAAGACTTTTTGGGTCATGACTCAGGGGGGTCCCACCCGGGAGGTGAGGGAAGCTGGGCTTTCATCCACCTACTGCCAGTAGTCGCTGACTGAAGGCTGCTCCTAGAGGCATCAGCCTTCCCTCGTTCCCCCCAGTCCCCCAGCCTGCCCTGCCGGGGGCCCAATAAAACCCTGGTGCCTAAAAGAACAGGTGCTTGGCAGCCAAAAGCCACCAGCAAGCCCGAGAGTGGGGACTGCCTGAGGCCCGGGGTTGGGCCCCTCTAGTGCCTGGTACTGACACCAAACTGAATGTTTTCTCCCATAATTCATGATTTCAACAAACATTTGTATGGTTCCTGGTGTATGTGTCCATTTCCTCCCCTGAGCTTAACAATAGCGCAGATAGGGAGATCTATCCGTACCCACCCACCATGGATGGGGAAACTGGGCCCAGGCGGCGTCTGGCCAGGAGAATTGAGCTGGAATGGTAGCCCCAGTCTCCTCACCCTCTGCATGTGTGGTCACTCAGGCCCGACTCCTTGGATCTCTACAAAGCTCGGCTCCGTAAGGAGATGTAAATGTATTAACGTTTTCGAGGTGAGAAGAGGAAACGAAAACTATTTTTTTGGTACTCTGTAGAATTCCTTAGATATCCATAGGGAAGTAGATACTTCTATACCCTTAGTCCCAAGACTCTTATGCCAAAAAGTATTATCTCTCTTTTGCACAAAGCACAGTCAAAATTAGGAGGTTATAGGACCTGCTGACTGCCACACAGGATGTGAGCGATCCAGTTAAATTCTCGAAAACTCCACAGAAGTCCCCGTAGTGGAAGCTTATGGATGCATGGTTCACTGAAGACTGGATTTTGTTACCTCCCATTACCCGGGCTCTCTTCAGAAGTGTTGTCAGTCCCTTTGGTACTTCTTGGAAACAAGTCTCTCTCCCAGCTTCATTTCCCTTTATTATGCTTCTAAGTGACTCGGTAATTCTTTGTGGACTTCAGTAACACTTGTACTATTTAAATTTGAATAACCCCAAAGGATCTAGATAGGTCAATGTGTTTAAACCACAGGCTTTAGTCTACATATTAGTTGATTAAAAACAGATTTTTATGCATGATGTATACTTAATAAAAGGAGGGGAAGCAAGCAGATGTTTGTAAAATCTAAATGTGTTAGATTCTATTTGTTTGGCTCTCTTTTGCTGACTAGCTTTAGAAAAATCATACCTGTGATCACTGAAGTGTAAACAGTTAGTTGATGTATTTCCCTAGAAATTTCCTGCTCGGAAGGGTCAGCCAAAAAGACAAGGAAAAAGATTCCCTAAGATTAACATACCAAAAGAAGTTGACAAAGATACCGTAAAGTAGTCACATCTAGATCAAGGACACTGAATAATGGAATGCCTCAAAATTATTCTCTAGTCTCTGACCATAAAATGATTAGTGGTTGTGATTCATTTCATCCAAACAGAAAAACTTTTGGCTGTTGTCTGCGTTGTTGTTTTTCTTATTGTTAAGAGCTTTGAAAGCAAGGTTTTCTTTGATGCAACCACGAGAGCGTTAACTTGAACCTTAATCACTCTGTCTGGCTCCTTCCCTGACTTTCTGTTAAGGTATCCCATCCTTTAAGTGGGAAATAGCCATTTTTCTCCCTTAAAATATTTGTACTTGAGACGCTCTTGAGTGTTTCAAAGCCAAAATCGAAGCGTTCTTGCTGGTCTTCCAGTCCCAATGAAATATGTGCCAAACCTCCCTCTTAATTCTGAACACATGAGAACTACAGATAAAATATTTTCAAATGGATTTTGAAGAATAATAACCAAGTTTAAACATAAATGGAAAGTCTCCAAGGACCGGAAATGAAAGGAGATGCAGAATGGTGGGGGAAGGCTGAAGCCGGGCTACTCAGAAGTGGAGATGAGCTGGGGTGGTGGGGACCCCGAGGGGGAACATGGTGGAGAGTGTCGCGCACGGGGCAGGAGCCTCAGACTGGCCCATACACCTGGAGGCCAGGACTCCCCAAGGACACAGTGGACTCCCACCTTCTCTGGAATTGGAGCCAGACAGAATTCTCAGGGAGGCACTGAGTCAAACCCGGATCTGTGCCTCTCTAACACACGGGTGCCCTGCGGGAGCACTCTCTCTGGGGAAACGACCTCACACCCCAACATCCGAGTGGGTAGTTCACTTGGCTGTGCTGTGCCAATCCCCGGACGCCAGCCCAGGGAGCAAAGTTCACATCAGATGAGCTATCGGACAGAAATTGTAAGATACGAGATAAAATCAGACTCTTGGGAAACATTGCACAAACACAGGAAAATAGGGAATTGCCTTTTTTCAAGTAAGCTTAAGAATAAATAAGTGTGTTTAGTCCTCTTGAACTTATGAAGGAGGGAATTGCATCCTGGGAAGAAGAAGAGAAAGTAAGTCAAGGAGAGGGAGATGTGATAAAATCTCCCTAGAAATGAAAAATTTCATCCACTAGAAATGAAAAATGTGGTCATTGAAATGAAAAAATTGGGCAATAGGATAAAGACCAGATTAATAAGCAGAACTTGTTTAAGAATGACCAGAGAGATTTCTGTTTCTGACGTATGCATTTTAAGCTTTAAATAAAAGTGACTCTTTTCCTGAATATACTTTTGTAAATCTAACATTTCAGAAAGCAGAAAGAGTAAATGCTTTCAGAAATTAATTTCATGGCATAGTGAACTATTATCACCTTGATGAAATTATTGATTTTCAAAACGACCCCCATACTCTTTTTTTTTTTTTTTAAGATTTTATTTATTTGAGAGACAGAGAGTGAGAGAGAGCATGAGAGGAGAGAGGGTCAGAGGAGAAGCAGACTCCGCGCTGAGCGGGGAGCCTGACGTGGGACTCGATCCCAGGACTCCGGGATCATGACCCGAGCCGAAGGCAGTCGCCCAACCAACTGAGCCACCCAGGCGCCCCCACACCCGTACTCTTTTCAAATCCTTTTTTGCAGATGGCATTACAAATCCTCGATCTATTTTCTTTTCCATGAAATTTCCTTCCATTCCGTCTTTTCACTGTATTTGTGGAATTGTCTAGCCGTTAAAACTGTTAAAAATGTCTGCCCTAATCCTTTGCCCTGATCTTGGTCCATGACATTGTTCTATTCCCTGCCTGTGGCCACCTCTACCTCCATCCCATCTTCCCAAGAAGTTCCTGCTGCTGTTCACCAAAAACTCCATACCCATCCTTCCAGCCTCAGCGGAAAGAATGTGTCGTCCGGGAAACCTTCTCCGGGTAGCCCCGACCTCTGCCCCTTGACTCGTTCACAGCATCTTTCCCCCAGTTGCATCTCCTCGTGGACAAGGAGTAGGAGTTTTTATTTGTGTTTCCCCAGTATCTCTCAGAGTCTGGCATTTAGTAGAAGCTCAATAAATACTTGTGTGAATAAATGAATGGCATCAATGAAGAGCATACAGAACGAGAAGCGGGTTATTGTGGTTGAAAATTAGATTTAATAGTCATTGCCGGGGACTTTAAATTTGATGTTCTAAAGGAATAGGGAATAATTCTAGATTTTTAAGCCAGATAGTTATATGAAAAATGTGGCATTCAAGGAAATTTAATCTGGCATTGATAGGTTGGTAGACAAGGAATAGAAGCATGTACAATAAAATGTACTATGAGTGAGTAAATGCGCATGATGGGACTTCTTATATCTTATAAATGCCTATCAATAGTCATAATGTCAGTGATAGCCAGATAATGCAAACCTTCCTCTGAGGGACTGACCTCAGCCTGCCCGTAAAATGGTAAATCCTAAAAATCCAGTAATAGTTGATTTGCTGTGGGAATATACTCCTTATATTATTGCCATGTCTGATTCAGGTAAAGAACTAGAAATCCAATTACCTCCTTTCTAGTTCACCTAGTTCACCACCTATAGCTAATTATTCAGGTAAATGTGCCCGGGTTCGTACAAGAAGCAGGAACAAAAAGAATGAAATTTGAAACTTTTTTAAAGGTTCTTTTAAATGCAGCTCCTCAAAGTCAAGTTTAAGTCTATAAATGTGGGGCGCCTGGGTGGCTCAGTCAGTTAAGCATCTGCCTTTGGCTTAGGTCATGATTCCAAGGTCCTGGGATCGAGTCCCACATCGGGCTCCCTGCTCAGCAGGGAGTCTGCTCCGTCTTCGTCTGCCCCTCTGCCTGCTTGTGCTTGCTTTCTCTCTCAAATAAATAAATAAAATCTTAAAAAAAAAATCTATAAATGCTTAAAGCTCCATAAATTTCATTGAGGTTTCTGCAAAAGAGATCAGATTTTCCTGAGTATGAGTAATTTTGTTATTAAAAGTATGTAATACTTCAGGATACAGCATAACATTTTCGGGATGCAGAATAATATTTTTCTTCTCTTTCTGAACAGCAAAACTTGGAGAGTAACCTCACCAGCCTTATCAAGAGGAACACGGAACTGGAGACCCTTTTGGCTAAACTCATCCAAACCTGTCAGCATGTGGAGGTGAGTGTCACTGTGTGCTGTGTTGCCCATGAAAACTGCCAGCCCATGGTTTTATACCCTCCTCGCCTTTACATTTTTAAGATGGGAATCTTTTCAAAATTAGATCTTTTGCCGAAGCAGAATATAAAAGATGGACAGAATTGGAAGGAACTAGACTCTCGGAGACTCTCTCCCCATGCACTACTTTGTCCCACCACCGCGGCCACCATGACAGCTCTCCTTTACTTAGCATTCCTAGTAGCGTAGATTTTAATCGCCTTTACAAAGAGCATCCAAAAAAGCCCTATATAAAAGGTGTTGTATCAGTTTCCCTGGGGCTGCTGTAACAAATCACCCCGGACTTGGATGGCATAAGATGATAGCAATGTATTCTCTCATAGTTCAAAATCAAGCCCTGCTCCCTCTGAAGGCTCTAGGGAGGACAAGTTCATGCCTCTTCCCACCTTCTAGTAGTTCCGGGCAATTCTTGGAGTTCTTGGCTTGTAGCTGCAGCCCTCTCACCTCTGCGTCTGTGGTCCCATGGCCTTCTCCCTGTGTGTCTCTGTCTGCGTCCAAATCCCCTTCTCACAGGGACACCAGTCATTGGATTGGGGCCATCCTAACCGCGGGGTGAATTCACTTTAACTCGATTACATATGCAAAGACCCTGTTTCCAAACCAGGTCGTATTTGCAGATACCGGAGGTTAGGACTGGGACATAATCTTTCTGGGGCAGCCACAGTTCAATACACTGCAGATGCACATTAAATGCATCTTAGTTGTCAGATACGTTTCCATGAAACGGATCACCGTCGGGATTAAGTCAAGAGTATGCAGGTGGCAGTGACACCAAAGACAAATTGCAGAACCCAGATCTTTCTAACCCTCTGCTTAGGATGGATTCACTTTTGGGGTGCTTGGGTGGCACATTCGGTTGAGCATCCAACTCTTGATTTTAGCTCAGGTCATGATCTCAGGGTTGTGAGATCAAGCCTTGCATCGGGCTCTGTGCTCAGCTTCTCCCTCTCCCTCTGCTCCTCCCCAACTCGTGCGCGCGCTCTCCCCCCCTCTCCCCAGTAAATAAATAAATAAAATCTTAAAAAAAAAAAAAAAAAGAATGGATTTGCTTTTGGCAAGGGTCTCTCCAGGGACCATTTTGAGCCTTGTTGATTAAACAACATGGTAAATAACAGTGAACAAGCATAATGTTTTCATTATCGTAGGGCACAGTGAATATGTGTTACAGGAATAAATGGATGAACAAAATGGAATGATCCATGTGCTATATTTTATTTTTATGATGTGATGGCATTTGATGTTTATGACAATAAGAAAGAATAATTTCTCTTCGGTAAAAAAAAAATTACCTGTGTTTTATGGGGAAATCTTACAAAGGCTTTATGGATTAGGTGATTATTTCATTCAATTTCAGCTAGTTACTTCTTAAAGCATTTAGTGTCTGGTTTCTATTATGGCCTGTAGTGATTTCAGAACAACTGTCTTGCTCCTAATGCAATATTAGTATGGCTTGAATTTACAAAATGCTATTCGTTTTAACATGGAAAATGACTTTCTGTAACGTTCAGTAATTTCAAATGAAAGATAGAAATTTACCAGCAGATTTTATTTTTATTCCAAAAGACTAGATATTTAGATGTGATAGAGGCTTTTTAAATAAAGCTATTACTGCACTGATTGTACGTGCCATTGGAAGTTATTTACAACGAGTAAAGAGTATGCATTCCTTTCACTGTGTTCCTGTATAAAGCCTTAGGAATGGAAACGAATCCTTGTGAGTGAATACATTTGGTATTTGGGAAATATATTCTAGATAAATATTAAAATTAATTATGAGTAGGAGAATGATACGGGAGGCACCTATCTTTTTACTGTTTTTATTGTGTGTCCCTTATAATTATTAAGAGTCTCAGAGCATAATTTTTCAAAAAAATGGAGCATCCGGTTCTCATACAATAATCCAGTGAATCTGTTGAAGTCTTATTTAAGGCATTGTTGAAGGGGGCAGCCGGGCGGTCAGCTAGCCCAAAGGAACAGAGCAGAAGCCGATACCCCCGCACGGGGGGCGCAGGGGGCACCGTGCGGGGAGAAGGGCGCTAGGATACGGGAGCTAAGTTAGATGCAAAACTGCTTCGTGACCCAAAGGGCAGGGAAGTCATAATGTCTGGGCAAAATGAGTTGTATATCATCCGTTTTCTCCAAGTTATTGTTTAACTTTGCAGCGACTAAGGCTGGATCAGGAGTAAAGCCCAACTCTGTGACCTGCCAGCCTGGAGAGTTACACGACCCTTCCTTAGGCTGCCTTAGTGGATTGTGCGCCAGTACGATCTAGTACAACCTAGTACAACCTAGTACGATCTAGTACGACCCCAAAAGGACTCACAGTCTTCTTTTTGCCTTATTTCCCGGTTTTGGATAATTGAGTTTAACATGACTTCTGCTCTTCCTGTTCTAATCCCCGTTGATCCAGGAGTTGTGTTCACTGCACAGATATTTCTGGGCGAGGGCATAAATTTTAGCCTCTGGCCAGTCACTTCGGTTTGTTCAAGTGTGACCCTAGCTTGTTCACTCTGCTCACGTGCGGGGGGCATCCGCTGTGTGTGCGTCACATTGTACTAGACGCCAAGGGACCGGCCCACAGGGAGCTTACCATCCTGCCCAAGACCAAAGAATAACTGCAGTGCAAAATAGAAAACTACTGGCTGTAAGAGAGGTGTGGACGCAGGACTTGGAATTTCCGAGAAGCAGGTGGCACTTGGGCATGTGGAGAGACAGGACGGGCACTACTTACAGGGCAAACCAAGGCACGTGGATAGAAGAATAAAGAGTGTATGTATGTACGAACGAGCAAGTAGTTCGTTCTGTGGAAACAAAGTGTGTGGGGGGATCAGTAGGAACCGGCTTTTGGGAGATGAGAATGGGGTGGGCTTTAATAATCGCATCACTCTCTGAACTTTACTTGGTCCTGAAGGTTTAGTGAGGGTCCGAGGAGCACAAAAACCTGGGTACCTTTCCCAGTTACAACCGGCCTCCCTAATTCTCTTCAGTAAAGGATATTTTGGGCTAATGGAAAACTAATATGGATATCTTAGTGCAAAAGGCGCTGAGCGCGCATCCAGGGAAGAACCTCGGAGCACACGAGTAAACTCCAAAAAGCTAGTGGAATTTGTTAGGCACTTTTAAATCAGTGCAGTGGACAAGAATTTCCTGGTTCACATCCGAGGTTCCGAGACTGTATTTCTTCCTTTTCCTCTTCCTGAAGGTGTCCTTGTATTCGGGGCTGAGCATTCCGAGGGAAAATAATCCCCACACCAGCTGGAGCGAAAAACTCCAAGCACAGAGGCGACTCTCGATTGTTGTAAATCAAATCAATGAATTCCCACCAAATCCTGAGGAAATGCCACATCCTTATAAGTCCACACCTCCTTCCTGGGATTCACTTCTGCTTTTCTTGAGAATGAAAAGAGTTGGAAGGTCTCCCCCCATCCCCATTGTTTTCGTAACTTGTTTTCACAGTGAGGGTAAGCAAATGAAATGGCTTTTTGATAGTGAGTACCAAATCTTTTTTAAAACTAGTGAACGGACGGAATGAAGGCCGAGGCAGCTCAGGACTCAGGAGGGAGAGGCATTGAAAGAGCAGTTTCAGGTAGACTCCCAAGAAATGTGTATGGAATGTGGTGGCTGGGATTCTAGAAATGAGTGGGTTTTGGGCCACTGGGTTTTGTTTTCTTCAGGAGCATTGGACAGTAGAGACTCCCCTGGAATGAGTTTAGCGTTAGTTATCTGTGGGATGCGGGACAAGCCTCTGAGAAGTGATCAAAATTTGGGTGAGCCACGGAACTTACCAGTTCTGGGTCAAATATGGACAGTTTCTCTTCATCACCTCATCCTCCTCCCTGTTTTATTTTAAAAATCAGAGGGCCTAGTTTATTAGCTAGGCAAATAATGATATGTATCAAATTCTCGACACGTTCTGAGAATCAAGTTCTTTCACGGGGCCTGCAACACCTGGACACAACGGAGATGTTCATTTGGGAAATTACAGGTGACCAGTGACTAAATACACAGAGAGATGGTAAAGAAAAACTGGGAAGCGGTGACTAATTAATTGCCAGAGCAGCATGGAGAAAGTAAAGGCTCATCTGACCTCACCGTCCTTGCCCAAGCTCATCCTAGAAGGGTATTTTCCCCAAGCCAGCATCCCACCTAAGTCCTGGCATTAGCCCCTTTGGCTTATCTTGCCTTGTTTGTAATTACTTTTGATTTTATTTTATTTTAAAGATTTTATTTATTTATTCGCGAGAGAGAACAAGCATGAGTGGTGGGGGAGGGGCAGAGGGCGAGGGAGAAGCAGACTCCCTGCTGAGCAGGGAGCCGGCCCCTGGGACTCAATCCCAGGACCCCCGGATCACGACCTGAGCTGAGCTGAAGGCGGATGGTTAACCGACTGAGCCACCCAGGGTGCCCTGTAATTGCTTAAAAACAAACAAACAAATTCCTTTTGCCATTGTTTTTTGCACTAAGTTTTTAAATTATCTGTTTCTTTGATTTTAATGGAAACTTTGCTGTCTTGCTGGCTTCTCTGAGTTCTTCCACTGCTAGATGACACGTGAAGTGACAAACTTCTTGGGGGTGAGCTAAGTGCCATTTAATTCAATTTTTGCCCAGATATTGGGGCTCCATAAATTGAAAGGGAGGAGGGTGATGTGTTACAGTAGCTTGTAAGAAACGGTTAAAAAAAATTGATTTGGGAAAACAGGGGTCTGTGAAAGACTTTTTCCATCATTCACCACATCCAAAGAGCATTCAGTTGTAAGCTTTGAAATAAGGGGGGGAAGCCACTGGGTTAAAAAGAAAGATGAAGTTTTAAGTTTAAATTATTTTATTATGCCGTTTTACGCGAAAGCATTCTCTCCTTCTGTATGGAAAACCTTGGCAATTGCTTCGTCTACAGCCATTGGATAAAGACCAGCGTCTGAACACTAAATTTGCTGTTTGTGTCT